TATATTTTAAGAAGTCTTCCCTCTGCTTCCCCTTAAATATGCTTTACTATTCTGCATAGTACTGACCACAGTCTGACATGTAGAAACCCTTTATTTTCTGACTACCCTCAGAAGACATACTAGAAGGTAAGTTCCACATGGGCAGGAACTTTGTCTTTTTGTTCACTGTTGTACAGTAGGTGTTCAATAATTATTTGTTGAATAAATGAATTCAGAAAATATTTACATCTATTCTACCATGTGCCAAGATTTTTTTTTTACACATTATCTTTTTTAGTCAGAAACCTTTAACGTAGGTATTACCATCGCCATTTAAAAAAAAAGAAAAAAACAGGCTGGGCGAGGTGGCTCATGCCTGTAATGCTAGCACTTTGGGAAGCCGAGGTGGGAGGACTGCTTGAGAACAGGAGTTTGAAGCTGCAGTGAGCTATGATGATGACACTGCGCTCTAGCCTGGGCAACAGAGCGAGACTCTGTCTCAACAACAACAACCAAAAACCCAGGTTAACAAAGTTATACTACCTACAGTCACAAACTTCCAAGTAGAAGAGCCAAGATTTAACCCCAGATCTGAGTCCGAAGTCCCTAGCCACACCTTGTATGTTGAAAAGATTATTGAAGTATTAAGGTTTTATGTATTCATCCAACAAATATTTATTGAGTACCTAAACTGACACGTACTGTGATAGTCCCTGAGGATACCATGGTGAACTTGCCCTCTAGAGAATTCGTGTCATTGATTCACCAACAACTAAGCAGCAGAAAATATTAATTCTCTAGAATAAGAAACTAAAAGTCCACAGCAGCAGCAATGACTGGCTCTGAATGCCTTTCAGTACGCTAAAATGTACTATATGAGGGAAAATATTACAAAATACTAACTAAGAGGCTCTCAAATTGGCAGGGATATGTGTCAGGGTTTCCTGTGGAGTTTCATGAAACCTCTACGCAGGTTCTTGGGTTTCTGGCACAGAAAATGGGGGTGGGGAATACTGTGTAATTCTAAAATATCTTTTATCCCTTAAACAAGCACATCTTCGTTTCCTTATATAGTTCAACTTGTTTTTCCACTTTTGCAATACTTCTTTGCCCAAAGGTGGTAATATAATTAATTGTAGAGACTTATTTAGATATAAACTATCATAAAACTTTGAACACATAGGATTTTTCCCTAGAGACCCAAGGACAAAGGCACCATTGGAGAAAGGATAAAATGTAAGGAATGTCACTGTGCTGGACTTTACATATATTATCTCGTTTGCTTATCTGAAAAAATCTGCAAGCTAGCAAATCTTCGAAAGAGCAAACCCACTACATTCCCTGTGCCAAGGCAGTAAATGAATCTCCCTCCACTGCATCATCAGGGTACGTCTTCCTCAAAGGGTCTGATGTATGAATACTTTAAAGTTCAGAAATGTCACACTAGGATCCCAGTGCAGCAATGAGCCACTTATGACTACCTGTCCCATCCTTACCCCAATAAGTAACTCAAGAGTCCCTACAACCGTATTTCCAAATTGCCAAGTGAGTGGTGGAAAGCTAAGTCTATCCAAAAGGCAGTTACTATGTTGAACCTGACTCTGATTAGAAAGCAATACAAAAACGCCTGGTTAAAAAAAAAAAAAAAAAAAAAAGCTCTGCCCTGGGGATCAAACTCCAGCACTCTGACGTCTGTCATTGTATTTCTGTCATTCTTGATCACATCATTCCTGCGTAATATCCCATGGCAGCTAAGTCTGTATGTTTACTGTTTTCTCACTACAAGAATTTAGTTTCATGAGAATAAGGTGTCCGTTCTTTCAATTCCTATCCCCTCAACTCCCTGAACATACGGGCACCGAATAAATTATTGTTGGTGGAATGAGTCGATGAACGAGCGAGCCTCGCTCTTCTCATCTGTAAAACGGAGATAATCTGGGTACGGGATCGTCGGGAGAATTAAATGAGACGGCATGTGTCCGGCACATATAGGGCCAAAAAAGACATTATCTTCTCTGCATTTCCGCCTGACAGGCTAGAAAGGGATATGGTCTAGGCCTGTTACGAAAAACAGGCCCCGCCTCACCACAGGGGCCCAGGCAAGAGGCGAGAGCGATGGGAAACTCGGAGCTGTCACACCTGGAGCTGGGAAGGCGGGCAGGCAGGAGCAGGTGGCCCCGGGGCCGGGCGTGATGGAGCCGAGGAGGAGGAAAGCACAGGCCCGAGCCCGCCGGGAGGCAGGAAGAGGTCGCCCCGGGGCCGGCGTGTGGAGGAACCGGGAGGAGAGAACAGGCCTGGGCCCGGCATATTGAGGGTCGGGAAGGGGAGGACAGCCCGGGCCCAGCGGGCCAGCGATCGTCGCGCTTCCGCCCGGGCTGCGGCGTGAGAGCGGGAGGTGGTGCGCCCACCCTGGCCGTCACTCGCGTCCTTACCAGTTCCGAGCGCCTCTCCTGGCGATCCGAGAGGACCTTGGGAGCACAGAGACAGGGCCCAGCACAATCCTAGGGCACAAGGGCAGAGTTCTCGCGAGAACACCGCCTTCCTCCCACGCCTCTCGCCACAAGTCTGACAGTCTCGCGAGATCTCTGCTCGAGCCGGCCCAAAGCCCTTGACTGCCCTCCAGAGGGCACACACTCCCTGCCCGTCAGTGTCCTTTCCAGCCTTCGTGAATAAATGAAATTAAACGATGAAGCAAACATTTTTTGAAGGCAAATTCTGTGCCGAGGACTATCCTAAGTGATTCTCTCACATCAAATGTCCTCACAAGTTAGATATTATTCAGCTGGTACGTTCAGATGCAAAAATAAATGTTAGAAGACACAAAAGACCATATATTGGTTGTATGCTTCCACTTACATGCAGTACCCAGAGTAGTAAAATTCACAGAGACAGAAAGAATGGTGGATTCCAGGGGTGGGGGACGGGGGAGTGGGGTTTATTGTTTAATAGGTGGAGAGTTTCAGTTTAGGATGATGGAAAGTTCTGGAGTTGGATGGTAGTAATAGAATGTACGGCAATGAATGTACTTCATGCCACAGAACTGTACACTTACAAAATGGTTAAAATGGTACATTATGTTATGTAAATTTTACCAGAATTTTTTTTAAAAAGTTGAATAAATAAATGAATGTGAGAATCCAGATTCTAACCCACATCATCGGACTCCAAAGAATAGGCTCCTTTGCACCCATAATGTTCCACACCTTGTTCCACCACATCGTACCTCCCTTCACATTCTTCCCAGTATGGCATTAGCCATGTTGGAATTTTTTGTTTGTGACCAGATGTTAAAAGGGGACTCTTTCTGCCTCGGTTTGACAGAAGTCCCCCATACTCGGTGCCAACTGTTTCTCCACATTTCCCAGCAAAGGAAATGATCAGAGCAGGGTTTTATGGATTCCACCCAAGAGTGACTCCTACAAGGGGCGAGGCGACCTCAGCAGAAAACAACAGGAGACACAGGAGCTAAGAGAACAGCTGCAGCTTGTGCGTGTGAGGGGAGCTGTAGTGGGGAGCGGGGCCCACAAAAGCCCCATGAGAAAGGCAGCCTTGGACACCACCTCGGCGGGAGGAGCCAAGACTGCACCGTGCCCTTAACTCTTCTGTCCCCCATTCCCTCTTCAATGCAGATGTAGACCCTGGAATGAGACTTTTTGTAACTGAAAGTGACCAAAGCACTTTTTTATCATCTGATGTGACCACAAAAACTAAGGGACCTGCCTACATTGCTCAACTGGCCCACATAGCATGTTTGAACGGATAGGGTTAGGGCACAGGGGAAAATGGAGCTCTTCATTGGTTGCCCACTGACTGTCCAACAGATGACTGTTTGCTTGTTTGTGAGCTGTCACGTATACACGGCTGACTCCAAGCCCTGGGACATCAGGTATTTAATCTCTCTGGTTCACTGCTGTATCTCCAGGCCCAGAGCACTGCCTAGCCCAGGTACTCAGTATATACTGCGGATTGAACAAATGTCCTCTAACACAGACACTGTGAAAAGAGGACGGATGTTGTCATTGTTCAAAGTCACTAACTGTTGGGTGGTCCGTGTGCAGCAGTAGATAACTGATACTGAGGCCTTGCACCCGGCCATTCCCCAACAAGGCGAAGACCTGGGCTTTTATTCCCTGTCGGGCTGCATGTGGCCTCAGGGGTCCTTCTTCAGGCTGTTCTGCTCTAACTTGCTCTGACCTCAGGCAAACACAGAGGAATGTAAGGAACACGGCATAGAGGACACCTCTGAAGAAGAGGAGAAAAGGGTAAACATGAACACCTCAAAGAAAAGAAGGGATCTCATTTCATCTTGAAGGCACACTTACTTTTTTCATTGTTCACCAGACAGCAGGACATAGGCAACAGAGCACAGATATATCAAAAAAGGCAGAAGTGGCAGTGGTCCCCCGAGTAGGCGGACCTATTAGAGTGTAGGAAAAATAGTATAACTTTTATTTGTTTTTTTTTTGAGAAAGAGTCTCACTCTGTTGCCCTGGCTAGAGTGAGTGCCGTGGCGTCATCCTAGCTCACAGCAACCTCAAACTCTTGGGCTCAAGCGATCCTCCTGCCTCAGCCTCCCGAGTAGCTGGGACTACAGGCATGCGCCACCATGCCCGGCTAATTTTTTCTATATATTTTTAGTTGTCCAGATAATTTCTTTCTATTTTTAGTAGAGACGGGGTCTCGCTCTTGCTCAGGCTGGTTTCGAACTCCTGAGCTCAAACAATCTGCCCACCTCAGCCTCCCAGAGTGCTAGGATTACAGGCGTGAGCCACCACGCCCGGCCAGAAAAATAGTATAACTTTTATTCATATTTATTTTTTGTCTCCCTCTCTAAACATTTGTATGCTTTACAATGTACCTTAAATCAATGCATACATAATTTATAAATTAAAAATATACACATATTCAAGTGTTTGCTCAAAAATTTTTTTATTGATAAGTAGGGCTACACGATTATAGACTATTAGAAGCCAGGGGAGAATGAGGCTGGGTCTGGGAGCCCTGGGCCCACTAGAAGCACATTACATTGTCCATCCATTGACAACACAGGTCTTTGCTGGGTTCTCCTTCTCCACCACGGTAAAGCTGCAGGTCTCCTGGTGGAAGATTTTCTCGCACTTGCTTTCATCATATTTCGCAGGTTTTAAAACACTGTCATTGAGACAAGATCAGGCTTGTTAGAAGCAACTCCTTGCCCAGGCTAGCTTTGTGCAGGAAGTAGCGCACATTCCATCTGGCTAAGATGCCTCTCACCAACTTAAGGGCACCCCTTGGCTAGAAGCCCCAAAGTGCTGTCTATACCATACAGTCATACAGACCACCCCTAACATTGGGCCTACATTCCATCCTGCACACAGAGAAGGATAGCAGTAAGTTCTGGCAGACCCAGGGGCAGGTCTGAGCTACTTTGTGGCTGGGCAACTTGTTCCAGCCTGGCTCTTCTCATCCTCCCTATTCAGGAAATGGCCAGCAGTATTGTTGCTAGAATGAGGGAAGGAATAGTTGCCCCAGGCCTGGCGTGAAGGCCTGTAGGAAGAGGAGCCATCTCAACTAACAAGAGCAAAGGCTCATTCCAGGCCAGGGGTCACGTAGCCCAGGGAGAAGCTAATAAAAACTGGGGACGACCTCCCCAGGAAAATCCACCTACATATTCAGTGGTGCCAACAATTTTAGGGTTCATTGTCCCCTTGAGGTCCATTCATAGGCTCCAGATTTATTTATTTATTTATTTATTTGGGGGACAGAGTCTTGCTCTACTGCCCTGGCTAGAATGCAGTGGTATCAGCTCACTGCAATCTCAAACTCCTGGGCTCGACGCATTCTCCTGCCTCAGCCTCCCGAGTAGCTGGGACTACGGGCACGCACTACCATGTCTGGCTAATATTTCTATTTTTAGTAGAGACGGGGTCTTGCTCTTGCTCAGGTTGATCTCCAATGCCTAGGTGCAAGCTATCTACCCACCTCGGCCTTCCAGAGTGCTAGGATTACAGGTGTGAGTCACCGTGCCCGGCCAGGCCCCAGATTTAAATTGGCCCTGCCCAAAGCACACACAGAAGCAGCCATTCCCAAAGCCCTTTGTGACTATGTTTCCTTCCAAAAGTAGCCCTTGACTTTTATTTTAACTAAAGAGGATATATATGTCAGTCCTTTCCCCAAAGCCATCCTCACCCAGTGTCATTCTTCTATGCTAACTACTTGGCTCCCAGGACACCCGAATTTGCAGCCCTTGGTGGTACAAGGGGAGAGAACAACAAGAAGTCCTGTTCATGGCCAGCGAGACCAGGGCGCTTGACACTGAACAGAGGAGACCAGTTACAGGGCAAACTCTCAGGATCGTGGTCCTACGAACAGAAATAAACACTGAATTGTGCCTTCAACACTACAACTTTGCTTTAAATCTTTTTGAGACCAAGGAGTGGTTAAGTTGCAGTATAGAAAAATATTTCAAAGAGTTTTAATGAGATGAGGTAGTCCTAATGCTGGAATATTAAGTGGAAAAATTAGACTACAAAATTGCAACATAAAGTTTGATATTTACTATGTAAAAAAAAAGAAAGGTGTAGAAAAGAGACAGAAAGAAATTATGATAAAATGTTAACCGTTATTATGTTTTGGCAGTTGGGATTATAAGAAAGTTTTTTCTTTTTTCCTATACTTTCCAATAGTTCTGTAATTAATATGTTTTACTTAGAAAATTGGGGAAAATGTAATTTAAAACTTTTAATGTTTAAAAATGGTAATTTGCTGGTGGAAATGTAAAATGGTGCAACTGCTGTAGAAAACAGCTTGACAGTTCCTCAAAAGGTTAACAAAAAGTTACTATATGACCCAGCAATTCTACTCCTAGGTGTACACCCCAAAGGAATCGAAAGCAGGGACTTAAACATACTTGTGTGCCAATGTTCATAGCAGCATTATTCACTATAGCCAAAAGATGGAAGCAACCCCAGTGTCCATCAACATATGAATGGATAAGCAAAATGTGGTATAGCTGTATCATGGAATATTATAATCCCGGCATTAAAAAGGAATGAAGTAGTGATACATGCTGCAACATCGATGAACCTTGAAAACACGCTGAGTGAAATAAAGCCAGACACAGAAAGACAAACATTGTGTGATTCTATTTATATGAAATATTTAGAATAGGCAAATGCACAGAGACAGAAAGTAGATTAGAAGTTACCAGGGACTGAAGGGAGGGAGAATGAAAGTTATTGCTTAATGGATAGAGAGTTTCAGTTTAGGGTCATTAAAAAGTTTTGGGAACAGTGGTGATGGTTGCACAATATTGTGAATTTACTTAATGCCACTGAATTGTACACTTTAAAATGATTAAATTGGCAAATTTTATGTAACATACACGTTACCGCAATAAAAAATGTTCAAAAATAAAGTGATTGTTATTGAAGAGATATCGATTCTTTTAGAAGTTTTTGGTAGGAAATGAAATTGTGTAACTCGCAGTCTGTGTACAATCACAAGTTGCTATCGCAAAAGGCGTATTGCCAGGTGCTAATTTCAATTCAAACCAGACTGAGCTCTGTAGGCGGAGCAGTTAAAAGAGATCAAGATGGGAAACTACAAACCTGAGGCATCCAGGCGCCTGGAGCCAGTAGCTGGGTGATCTTGGCCCCTGGCCCCAGTCAGGGAGCCAGCTTCAGGTTGGGCCGTGCAGAGGCCAGGATGTCCCCATGCCGCTGCCCAGGAGCCAAGAGCCTCCTCACTGCCAGTGAGCACCTTGAGATTTGGGCAATGTCCCAGAGAGGATGCACTGGGTCCAGAAAATTCTCCCAGAGAAAGTTTAATCAAAATCTCTACTTTGCTACGGCAAAAGAAAAAAAAATTCATGGGAAAAACAAACTCGGTAGGAGATGAGGCAGTTCCAGGAAAGAAGGAGTTGGTTCATTCCCCATGGGGAGCAGCGTGCCAAATAGGATAGGCAACATGGAAGGGAAGAGGGAGAGGACACCTTGAGCCCCGATCAGGTGACAGGGACTGCCCAGGCTCCAGGGACACAGAACTGGCACAAAGAAGGCATCATGTATATGTCGGGTTGGTGAATTTATATGCAGAATTTCATTTAATTCTCATAGCCACCTGATTATCCCTATTACTCAACAAGGAAACAGAGCCTCAGAGAGATTCGGAAACTTACTGAGGGTCACACAGCTAGTCTACAAGGGAATGGATATTCGGACTCAAGTTACTCTGACTCCAGTATTGAGGCTCTTCCACGTCACTGCAAGGAGCAGCCCTTGCTCTCTTTTCTACCCTGGGTCCACGGTCACGTGGATGCAGCTGTGATGACTGCTGCACCGACAGGGTGAAGATGCCTAGCCCGGGTGACACGCTGTGTTGGCCACCACGGAGGCACGCTCCCATGCGAGGGAGGAAAGCTTCACCAGCTCTCAACCTGGCTGGGATACAATCACACTCCAGAGTGACATTGACACTTGATAACAAAGACAATGTCAAATTTCTAGAGCCACAAAATCAAGATGCAGCTGTAATAGCCCATGCCCTGGCCAGCGCAATACCCCGGAGCCTGCCGGACAGCCAGCCAATCTCCCAGTCCTGTATGCCTCTTATTTCATTAAGCACTTAGCATGGGCCTGCTCAAAGAGTGTGGTTGAACTTTCCAGACACTTAAACTTCAGCAGGACTCGGGTGTTTTCATTTAAGTCAAGAGCTCCCTCCTCTACTCACTGGTGCCCTCTACTCACTGGTGTTGTCATAGGCTCTCTGGGGCGCTTGTTACAATTCAGAGCCCTTGGCTCTCGCAGATTCGGATGGGTAGGTTCTAGGGAGGAGCCCAGGAATCTATTCCATCAAGTTTCCTGGACGAGTTTGGACCAGACAAGTTTGGGAAATGCTACATCACAGAAATGCTCCTGTCATCAAAGCCACTCCTGTTCTTGCCAAACACTACAGGCCAAGGCTGACGTGAAGAAGTCAGATGGATTTGGGGCCCTGGGGGTGGGGTGGCTGGTACACAGATATAGCTGTGGAAGAAACAGTTAAATTAGGACCACTCTGCAGGTGCTCCATGTTCTATCCACCAAAGTACTAGACCTCTGGTGTCCAGAGCAACCCAGCAGAAAACATCTGCACAACCTTTGGGCTGATTTGAGCTAAACTGAGCAGTGAAGCAAGATAAGATTTACAGTACAAGGCACACTACAGATAATCCCTTACACGCCACATCTATTCCCTCTGCCTGGGCTCAAAGCCAGCCCAGTTCTTGCAAATCTCCAAGGCCAAGGCTGAAGTGATGACCAGGCCAACCTCTAGAATAGCATCAGACCACTGGATACACCTTCCTGTCTTCAGGAGCCCATATGGATGGCTATAGGTATTTAAGAATAAAGGTACTTATCAAGTTTCGGAACCAACTTAAAAGAAATAAGACTGAGGTGAAAGCAACCCACGTGTTCATCAGCAAATGAATGGAGAAGCAAAATGTGGTCTATCCATATGGTGCAAGGAAATTCTGGCACACGCTACCACACGGATGAACCTTGAGGACATTATGCTAAGTGAAATAAGCCAGTCACAAAAGAACAAACACTAAATGATTCCACTTATATGAGAGATCTAGAGTCATCTCATCAAATTCACAGAGACACAAAGTAGAATGGTTTTGGGAGGCCGAGGCCAGAGGATCATTTGAGCCCAGGAGTTCGGGGTAACAGTGAGCTGTGATCATCACACCACTGCACTCCAGCCTGAGTGACACAGCAAGACCCTATCTCTAAAAAAAAAAAAAAAAAAAAGAAAAGAAAAGAAAATAGAATGGTAGTTGCCAGGGACAGGGAGCAGAGAGGGAGAGGAAATGATTATTTAATGGGTACAGAGCTTCAGTTTTGCGAGATGAAAAAGTTCTAGAGATGGATGGCGGTGATGGTTGTACAACAATGTTCACCACGTGCCACCTAAAGTGAACACTCAAAAACGGTTAACGTGACAAATTTTATGTTACGTATATTTACCACAATAAAAAAGGAAAGAAATAGGACTGAAAACTGACCCCCATCACCACAACACCAAGAGTGAACCCTAACATAAACTATGCACTCCGGGTGACAGTGGTTGTCGGCGCGGGTTGACCCACTGTAACTAGCGCACTGCTCCGTTGGGGAGGTTGACAATGGGGGCTGGGCCTGTGTTGGGCAGGTGTTTATGGGAAATCCCTTTATCTTTGCTCAGTTTTGCTGTGAATCTACAACTGCTCTAAGAAATAAAGTCTATTAAAAATAAACTAAACCCGCTGCAGGATGGGAGTTTAAAAGAGGGAGTAGCTGTTCCTCAGAGAGCAGCTACGCCCCTGTTGGCCGCCACTGGCTGAGACTTACATGCTGCAACAGTGAATTCCGTTCTCTTCGCAAGAGCACTTCTCACAGTCGCCAGTGTTCCACTCTGCCTTCAGCGGGTGTGTGGCCCCATCGCTATCCCTGCATTCTAGAACAACACACAGCATGAGCCACGCGGTGGGAACAAGCCGTGTCAGCACAGCCCCCCGCTGTCAGCACCCCCCGCAGAGGGAGAAGCTCATCAGGTTTGCAGTGTCTCGTGGGGCTGGGCCTAGGAGAAAGGAGGGTGGATGGAAAGAACGTGAGCAGGTGAATGAGGGTCAGGCGAAAACGCCTGCGCGAAGCCACCTGTTTGCTGAGTGCAAAGGTCTCCTGAAGACAGCTGACCTGCATGGAAGTTGTTAAAGAAATTAGCAAACGGCCCTGGCCCTTTGCACGTGTCCTTGGAAATAAATACGGGGAGGAAGTTAGCTGAGGAGCCATTTTCTCCTTCAAGCTTTGGTCTCTTCTCTGCAAACACTACGTGTTTCGAGTAACTATTCCTTCGCCACCGAGCCACCCAGGGCCAGAGCGAAAAGCTGCCGCCACAGACTCTAAGAAGGCGCTTCTGAGTTCACCCACGGCTAAGTTCCGGTACTGTCCAGTTCGTGCCACCGATAATGTTTTCTTACGGTAAACTTACATCCTTCCAGATTTTATTTTACAACAGACATTTCAGGAAAAAAAATAGGGCCCTCCTTTTTAATCCGGTAGTTATTATGAGCCTAGAGGTGCCCAGGGCTAAATTTTTCCCCGCTGGATTATCTCTAGATTATAGAATTGTCACTTCTCCATTTTCCTTTGCTTTGCCTCAGTGGTTCTCCACATCTTCGGTACTTAAAAAACGTCTGTGTCTGGGTCCCACCCCAGAATGATGAAGTCAGGATCTCTGGGTGTGGGGCCAGGCCACCATATTCTTAGAAAGCTCCCCAGGTGATTCAAATGTTCCACAAAGGGTGAGAACTTCTGCTTTAAATCCTTGGTGGTCTGAGTATGCTTGGAGGACCAGCAGCATCAGCACACCTGGGGCAGACTCACACCTGCCTCCAGGTATGCCGACGCTGCTGGTTTAAACCTGCATCTAAACACGATTCCCAGGGGACTGGCCTGCGTATTAAAGTTTTAGACGCGCTGCTTTGGAATAAGCAATCATTCTCCACCCTGTCTGCGCAGGAGTCAACCAAGGAGCTTGTGAATGTGCAGCTCTGACCCCAGAGGCTGATTCACTTGGTCTCAGACGGGGCCTGAGCATCGGTAAGTTCCAAAAGCTCTCCAGGCGTCCTCACTCAGCTGGAGTTGAGAACGGCTGGCCTACATAAAAGGCAGACTGAACTACCTCAATTTACTAGCCCTCTTTCTCACATGGATTCAAAGGCTTTCATCTGCCAACAGGTTACATCTACCAGGCTGCGACAACATAGTAAACATTGAAAAACCAGGACTTACCACTGGGCGAAGCACCTACAGCTCCCTCAGACGGTATGACACGGCACTGAGCATTGCACAAAGTCACGAAGGTGGCAAAGACCAGGAGGCTGCCCAGGAGAGCGTTCTGCAATGGAAAGAAGGGTCCAGCATGGAGAATGAATGAAGTCAGGGTAATCTTTGACCGAGTGTTGCGCGCAAGGATCCCTGCTGGGCTCTGGCCAGCGGTCACATAGGTGGAGCTTCTACCCTCAGGCAACCTAGCAAGGGAACGAGACCTGCACAAGTCACTAACATAAACTCTAGAAAGAGCTAAAGTCAAAAGTCACGGAGCAATAATGATACTGTGCTATTTCATTACAGAGGAAGCTCAGGAAACCTTTGCAGATAAGGTGATTTTAGCTGCTTTGCAGAATATATAGAATTTAAAGGACAGAAGTGAGGGAGTGGAAGAGAGTTTCATGAAGAGAATAAAACATTGAAAAAGATACAGAAGCAAGAAAAATAGAGTTGGAAGCGTGATGAAGCTAACTAGGGTAGTTGGAGACATGACAGGAAAGACAGGTTAGGGGCGGGTTATAAACACAGACTGTGAGGCTAAGGGCTTCATTTTCTAGATAATAAAAGCATCTTTGGTGGCTGCATGAACAAACCAATTAATCTAGCCGGAATCAGTAGGACGAGGAAAAGTGTCAAGTTGCTCTTGTCATCTTTTTGAGATGAGCTAAATAGACAAACAAACCTGAACGTGGTAATTTGCAGAAACCTTTCTAAATGGAAGATGATGTTAAATGAAATTTACAGGCGGCCACTGGTTTACACCGAGCTCCTGCACCAGGCCCAGCAGATGAAACCAAATGAAGTCACTTGTGCTTGAGTTCCCTGCCACCGAGCTGGGGCCACTCATGCTCAGCTTCCCTGCCACCAAGCTGGAGTGACTCATGCTCAAGTCCCCTGCCTCCAGCCAAGACTGGGTAGGTCATCTTCCCAGAAGTCAGGAAAGCGAGAGAAAATAGCCATATCCCCAAACAAGCCAGTTTTAGCCAGCATGATAAGGAAATCCCCTCTGCTTTAACCTTTATAAGACCAATTTTCTTTTGTTCTCTGTGCCTGCTTTCTTCAACCCTTTTCTGTCTGTAAAGCCAATCGTCTGCTCAGCTCATTAGCACACTCAGTCTATTTTCTGGAATGAGGTGTTGCCAATTCTAGAATTGCAAGTAAAGGCCAATTATAATCTTTAAACTAAATGCGTTGTAATTTTGTCACAGAAAATATAGGTAAATATTTATCTTATTCCAAGCAAAAAAGAAAAATACATTTGAGTATGTAAAAGTTTTAAGAACATAATGAAATTATAAAGATATCAAATTTGGAGAACAATATCATTATATGAAGAGTTTCTAGGTACCAACAGAAAAACATCTTAGTAGAAAAATGAAAGGAAAATAAAGTGGCATTTCACACATACATACTCAATAGAAATGATGATTAAACACATGAAAAAGTTCAAGTTACTGATAACAAAAGAAATGTAAATATATAGCCCAAGATGTTGACTGCTCTGCCATCTCCAGTCCTGTATAACTAAACGGATCAGAGTCCCTCCGCCAACCCGCAATGTACATAAAGCATAAGCGGGAAATATATCTGGGTTACTTTATCCCTTTGAGATTTGGGCGGTTATTTGTTACTCCAGCATGACTTAGCCAAACCTAACTGATCCAATAATGGGCAGTCTGAAATTAAAATTATGCTTATTATTATTATCCCAATATTACTACTGTGACTACTACCTATAATAATCTTTTTATAACAAAAAAAGAAATGGAAATATATAGATAAAATAGAACCATAATTGGATACAAGAATAATGATTTAATTTAAAATACCCGGAGGGAAATAGAGGCGTATACGGGAAGTGAAATACATAAGGATCACTTATGTTGGAACAATGCTTGTTATGGTGAGCAATTTGAAAGTATTTATCAAAATTCTTAAAACCGTTTACAACATCTGATTTCACCTTTTCATCTCTAAGATTTGATCCTAAGAATGGCACACAGACCCGGATAAACTCCTCCACAAGGATGATCACTGCAGCGGAGAAATGGAAAGAAACAAAACGCCTGAGAACAGAGCTGGTTGAGAACATGGCGACTCGGAAAGCCACCTGAGAAGCCAGAAGGAGAAGGTGAAATGAAAGGGGCCAATGATCACTATGTATCATTTGTGAAATGAAGTAAGTTACAAAGTTGTTTGTGTGACACGATTCCTATGATGTGGAAAAAGATGCTCAGAAACACCCTGAAAGTTATTTACCAAATTTTAACCATTTTTGGGTGGTGGGTGTAGGGACCGTCCCTGGGCAAAATTGGCTTAAGCCCAGAGTCAGCGAAACTGGGTGTGCTCTCCTTGGCGCCAGAGGTCAATAGGCCCGGCAAGGCCTGTTGACCAAACAGAACTATTCCTCAAGACAGATAGCTTTATGACAGATAACCAAGCGCCTGGGGTCTTGCAAACAAGCCAAGGCGTCTCATTGTCCTGCATACGGTAATGAGATAAAGAAGTTAAGATGCAAGAAGTTAAGATGCAAACGTCTGCTTCCCTTAAGCAATCGTCTGGAAGGAATGAAAATGTGTTTTCCTCAGGGCGCCCAAGGTAGTCACGTGCCAGGAAGTAGCTGCCGGACAGAGAAAAATATAAGAGTAAAGCGACTGGTAGAATTGACTACTGCAGTCTTGTATGTCCTTGTGTGTATCTGTGTGTTTCTTTCTGTGTCCCTCCCCTGTTCTGCAATCCGGGCCGCGACAGTGGGATTATGACGACATTCTTCTTTGGGCTTTTCCTTTTATTTTCTAACTTTTTTTTTACAGTGAAATGTATTTGTTTTATAATCAGAAAGAAATAAATGAATTTATTTTTGAGACAGGACCTCACTGTACTGAAGTAGGACCTGTTTAGCACTCCGTCACCCAGGCTGGATGCAGTGGAGTCACCGTAGCTCGCTGCAGCCTCGAAACCCTGAGCTCAAGCAATCCTGATACCTTGGCCTCCCTACTAGCTGGGACTACAGGCATGCACCACCACACCCTGTTAATTTTTAAATTTTTTGTAAAGATGGGGTCTCACTGTATTGCCCAGGCTGGTCTCAAACTCCTGGGCTCAGGCGATCCTCCCACCCTGGCCTCCCAAAGTGCTGGGATTACAGGCATGAGCAACCACACCTGACCAAATAAATTTCTTTTTAAATTGCAGGACAACCTGCAAGAAAAATAAAATAAATAATTAATTAACTAAAAACAAAAACACCTGGATACTTTTAGCTCACGCCGGGACTTGGAGTTGCACTTGCTCTGTTTCATTCTTCTTTTCCATAATCTTCAGCTCAAAATCTTTGTGAAAACCTACATTTTTTCCCCCCAAAAATCCAGCCTAATTGACAAAATTTCTGTTCCCTTCATGCAGAAAGAGGGTTCCTGGGGAACTGTAGTGATCCCTGGAATCTTAGGGGTCTCCTTTCACTGAGTCAGGAAATGGGGGAGTGTGCTGGTGACGGAGGCTGCAGCCTGGGGCTAGAGAAGTGGGCAGAATTCCCAACTCTCCCGCAACTCTGGGGCAGAGACACTAGATTTAACGTACTGGGGATGGAGTCCAAACATGGTGACAGTGGGGAGCAAATTATTTATTTTTGAGACTACCCACTTGACACTATCTCAGAAATAGTCTGCCAATGTCCCTCCCTCCCATCCTCTACCTCCTGCCCTAGTCCCTCGCTCGCTCTCTGTTTCCTCCCCTGTAAAAATAGGGGTTCCCCCATTTGGGTGGGCAGTGGATACCCAGGGAGCTAATAACACGCAGTCTTAGGCTCATTGAAGAGAGTCAGGGCCAGTGGCTCGGCATGTTTACCCACAGTCTCCCAGCTGAGACCCATAGGAAAAGCGATCCACACCAGTGCTGCTTTAACGTGCAGAGGGATTCCTGGGAGATCTTGTTAAATAAAATGTAGATTCTGCTTCAGTAGGTCATTGGACTTCAGACCAAAGCTCCGAGGTGATGCTGCTGCCGGTCTGAGTAAAGAGGTTCGGAAGTCCCTTCGCATTCCCGCACGGTTCTGCCGCCGCCCTCCCTGCCTGCCTTCCCTCCCTGCACTCGGCAGCCATGAGGCCCTGCCGTGTGCAGGCATGGCAGGTTTCCCAGGTGGTGTGGCTTCGTGGCCAGCTTTGGGTGAAGCAGATTGGCAGTGCCCCTGGAAATCGTGTTCCTTTAGTAAGTTGCTTCTCCTGGAAGGGTCTTACTCCCTGATCAAGAGTCAGGGGTAGGCCGGGCGCGGTGGCTCACGCCTGTAATCCTAGCACGACGGGAGGCCAAGGTGGGAGGACCGCTTGAGCTCAGGAGTTCCAGAACAGCCTGAGCTACAGCGAGATCCCGTGTCTACTAAAAATAGAAAAACTAGCCGGGCGTGGTGGTGTGCACCTGTAGTCCCAGCTATTTGAGAGGCTGAGACAGGAGGAACGCTTGAGCCCAGGAGTTTGAGGTTGTTGTGAGCTAGGATGACGCGACAGAGAGAGATTCGATCTCAAAAAAATAAATAAATAAATGAGTCGGGGTCTTCAGGGTCTTAAGCAGGGCGGGGGTATTGCCAGCTCCGCCACTTACTGAGTTCACTCTGAGGGTCTGAATGGAGACCGGGAGGCCCCTGCCCGCCGTTACGCTGCCATTCCCAGCTCTGTCTCAGGACCGCCCAGAGGAGGCCCGGCCCCGCTTCTGAGGACCCCCCAGCATGACTTGGCTGCTCCTGCCTGGCTGCTTCCTCCCTTCACCTCTGAGAGCAGCACAGCTCAGTCCGTTATTGGCTCTAGCAAAGACTATTTTAAGAAAGATCAAGTTTGAATTAAAAACAGAAAGGAAGCCTACATGGGTTTTTATAGATACTGGAGCAAAATTCTTTCACAATACAACATGATACAGTGAAAAGGGCCTCGGAAAATGGTTCCCCAACTTTGCTAAATACTGAAATCATCCGGGCAGCTTTTAAAACTCCTGGTGCCATTCTCACTGCAGAGCAATCAAACCCGAGAGTCTGGGTGGGAGCCAGGTGTCAGTGTTTTTCAAAGATCCCTGGGTGGTTCCACTGCACAGCCGGGTTTGGGAGTCCCTGGCCTAGAGAGGAGGGGGTCTGGGTTCCCGTCTCAGCCCCCACAGGCTGGCAGGGAGACCCCAGGGCAGTGTCTTCTCTTCCCCAGGCTCGGTTTCCTCACCTGTGAAATGACGCAGTAATTATAGCTCTGAAATTGTATTTAAATTTCACACAGAAGGCCCCCAAATTAGAGACATACATGAAACTTAACTGAATTCCAGAATTACTGGAAGGAATAACAACTTAGATCCTAGAGAACAGAAATAGTGCTAAATTCATAAAGGTTTTCCAAAGCTCCAAGACTCTTACTATACACATCGAATTGCAAGTAATGCACACAAGATTCATAACTGGGTCATATTTACCACGAAGTGCTCTCCAGCGGAAACACGCATCACCGCATACTAAAATAGGGAATACACATTCTTCTTTTCTTTTCTGGTCTTTATGTATGAAATCAGTTACCTACCATTGTGATGAGCAGGACTCCTTCCAGGCAGGTACATCCAGGGAGTCGCAACAGACTTTTATACTGGAGAGGGCAGCCACGCATCCAACGTCGTTAGGAAAGAGAACACGCCAAGAACACGTTGGATGTTTACAGAGGGTTGACTATCAACAGGAAACTATGGTTTGAGATGATTTATGGTTATTCGTAAATCAGGTCTCCACCCCAAGTATGTATTTATCCTGTCCCCACCCCTGATCTGCATTTGCCCTTGATCTGGACGAGCAGAAGAGTACTCCTCTTTACAGAGCTTTTACCCCAGCTGGGTAGATTGCTAGGCACGTGACATGTTTTTATTTTATTTCACACACAAAGAAATGGAGGCTCGGGATGCCAGTCGCAACAGCCAAGTGGGGAAACTGGGTTTCCTGAAGGCATAAGAACAGCCCGGTGGATCAGCACAGCAGGCCCTCCAGGCCTGGGGCTGTGGCCCAGACAGCACTGCCCTTAGGGTCTGGCATGAGACAGCAGAAATGGGCCAGCCACCCTCCAGAGCATGGGAGAGTAGCACCTTGGCAGCCCAGGTTTCCCTAACAAGCCACGTGGGCTCTAACTTTGTCATCTTTCTAAAGCTCATCTTGAATCTTCACTCTTTACTCCCCATCGCCTCAAGCAAGCCTTCCTTCTCTTTGTTCAGCAATGATCTCCTTCAACAACCCTGCCTGCCCTCCTCGTGGCCAAGATGGCCTTAGGGGGACAACAGGGAGCAAAACCTCCTGGTGTGTTGGAGGCACTTACCATTTATATCAGTTTGCTCTGGCTGCCGTGACAGGACACCACAAACTAGATGGCTCAGGCAAAAGAAACGTATTTGCTCAGGGTTTTGGAGACTAGAAATCTAAGATCAAGATGTTGGGGGAGGCTGGGTTTCTTCTGAGGCCTCTCTTCTTGGTTTACGGATGGCCGCCCTCTTGCTGCCCCTTCACATGGCACACCCCTCCCTGTGTGTCCGGATCCTCTCTTCTTATACAGACACTAGTCCTGTTGGGTTAGCGTCCACCCTACCTATCTCTTCTTACCTTAATTATCTCTTTAAAGGCCTTGTCTCCAATACAATCACATTCTGGGGGTACTGGAGGCTAGGCCTTCAACCTGTGAATTATGGGGGGGACAAAATTCAGCCCATAATACCATTTTATCCCAAAATGTTCCCCCTGCCAACTTGATACAATGTCCAAAATTCTGCTGTGCATGCCCCTCTGCTCACAGATGAGAGCTCAAGCTCTTAACCAAGGGGTCCTCAAAGCTCTTATTTTTTTTTTCTTTTTTTTGAGACAGAGTCTCACTCTGTTGTCCAGGCTAGAGTGCCGTGGCATCAGCCTAGCTCACAGCAGCCTCAAACTCCTGGGCTCAAGCGATCCTCCTGCCTCAGACTCCTGAGTAGCTGGGACTACAGGCACGTGCCACCGTGCCCAGCTAATTTTTTCTATGTATTTTTAGTTGTCCAGCTAATTTGTTTGTATTTTTAGTAGAGACAGGGTCTCGCTCTTGCTCAGGCCGGTCTTGAACTCTCAGCTCAAACGGTCCACCTGCCTCTGCCTCTCAGAGTGCTAGGATTACAGGCGTGAGCCACCGTGCCCGGCCGTCAAAGCTCTTTTGAGCTGGCCACAGTGACCCTCTCTAGTACCATCCTCTGCCACCCCTAAAACCAACCTCCCCACCCCCAACACAGTTTAGGGTCTCTCTCCTACTCCCTTGAAGGGCTGTAGCACCGGCTGCCTTCCCACCCCCCAGGGACACCACACACACTCCCACACGCTTCTGCCTTCACCTGCCCATGTTTAAGGCGTTCATTGACTCTCAGTTCCAGGAGGTCGGGGGCACATTCATGATGCATTGTGGCCCTCTCGGTTTCTTTTGAAACACCACGTTTAAAGAACTTCCCGCAGCGTGAGTCCCACCTCATGTTGGTAGTAGCTAGGACGTGCTGCCCTTGCATCTTTGCCTCTGGGGCACAGGGATGTCACCTCAGCTGCACCAGCACGCTGAGCAGAACCCCTTCAAAGGACGCGTGGAAACTGGCATCGTGCAGAATCTTCCCAGGAATGTTGGTTTCTAGGACGGGTTTCTGGAGTCCGGGGTGTGCTGTGGTCTTACTGAGGCCACGCGGCAGCGCAGTTTGAGTTATCCGCCCAAACCTGTAGCAACCAAACCTGTGTCTCTGGCCTTTATTAGAGGCTTGACATTCTCTACGGAATTCCTGCGCACAAAACTATTACAGCAGGTTCTACTGTTTACAGTTAAGAACTCCGTGACCAAGACAGTGGCCGTAACTTGTTCCTGTCGATGTCCCTCCCAGTGACTGGCACAGTGCCTGGCACAGAGCAGCTGTGCAGGATAGGATTACGTCTGCTTCTAATGCAGGTGTTCCCAGGTGGGAAAATATTCTGACACAGACAGAAGAACAGAGAGAAGAAAGCGTCCTGGGAGGCTGGCAGGCTCTGCAGCCGCGTCTCCGCGGGGAGTCGTGTCTTGGTGGGGCTCGGTGTTGCAGGCCGTGAAGGCTGGCACGGAAAAGCCGGGTGCATGGACAAAGCCACTGCTTGTCCTGGTCCGTGAACCCGCAGGGTGGCACCACGTTCCCAAGAAGCCGAGATGTGGACGTCGACCTCACAGGGTCCCTTTACCTCCCCGAGGCGTGGGAGAGGGAAAAGGGGCGACAGGAGGGTCGTTCCCTGTGGTGTCTCGAGCGCCCACTCGACAGACGAGCACCCCAGGACCTCCCGCTCTCCCGCAGCTCCCGAAGGACGGCGCCTGAACCGGAACCCAGATCTGCCGGTGCCCAGCGCTCCTCTCTCCCGCGTCTCCTTTCCCGTTGGCCGCCATCAGCGACCTGCTGTCACAAAGCGCCGCCTCACAACAACGGAAATGTGTTTCGCACAGCACAGCTCGGGGGCCGGGAGCCCGAGGTCGGGGTGCCGGCATGCTCAGGTCCGGGGAGGGCTCGGGTAGTTCACTGGGTGGAGACATGACTAGGAAGATAAAGATAAACTTAACAATGTTTGTACAGATTTCTCTTGGTTTCAACTTCCCATTCTTGATGGTGACGATGTTATTTTCCTTCTGGTGCAGGAAGGACATCTTGCATATGGGGGTTTTATCTCCCACTTTCAAGAAGAAAAAGGGGAGGATCAGAGCACCCTACTTGCACATGATTTTTTTTAAGTCTTTAGCTCAAAATAATCCTTATGCCAAAGTGGCTTATTTTGGAGTGACATGTTCTAAACTCCATAATCATCATTTTTGATAATGGCTGGTACCACCAAGCAACAGCAGCTTGCTGCGTCCATCTCCCTGGGGTCTCATGGCCAAAGCCTTCTCTATGCTGGGAAGCGCTAGCAATGCCCTGCTCAGTCCTGACTCTGCGATGTGCCGTCTGCCTTTGCACTGGTTACGGTTCCACAAGCCACAAACACGAGGCCACACATCCCTGGAGACACACTGTTGCCATCATGTGTTCCGAAGCTGGTGATTCTGGGGAAGAGGGAACGTGGAAGGAGCTGCCTTCTATCGGTGGTTGATCTCATTCCGCGGAGGTTTTTACTCGCTACGTCCATCTCAGTGGCAAGTTCAACTTCACATCGTATGAGATTCCTTGTGACACCCCATCCTATCTGCTGCGCAAGCGCCTTTTCTCTTGATGATCCCCAAACCTCACTTACCTGTAGTTTTGGTCTTCTTGTCATTTCACAGATGGGCCTTGGAGAAAAGATGGGCCAAGCAAACATTGGCACACACAGGAGTTCTAATACATCTGTTTGACAAATACTCATTACGCGCCTGTTCGACGTGTTCTGATTGCGCAGCAAGCCCTTCCTTTTAGTTCCCACCCGGGCTTATCTCATTTTCAAAAAATATAACTTTCTATAACTTAACCCACAGGGATTCATATTTGCCAAATTAATAAATGGTTGGTCTCTTAGTCAAACAAACATAGGTTCCTGCCTGCCGTGGGACACAGATGCTACAGACAAAACATTATGCGTATCTATTGATTTTATGGCCTTTATAAAGGCCAACTCGATTTTACAAGTGAGCCTTTAAAAGTTTCATTGTAACAAGCCATATGATATCAGTTAAATGGGCACTGTTGTAATCATAGCATCTCAGAGCTGGACAGGTCCTAAAAGGATTGAACAATTTGATTTCAACAGACAAAAACTGAACTTGAGGGCTATGTTACGATTCAATATTTGCTAGTAAGTTGTGGAGCCCTAAACACTGTCAGAGGGAAGTGCCGTAGTCTCGGGAGCAAGGCAGAGGCAAGAGGAAGAGTGAGAGTGGGTGACCGTCAGGCCGTCGTCTGAAGTACGGAAACAGAACCAGCCTGCGCATCGCCGCGGCCATCGCCAAGACTTAGGGTGGGAACAGGTGGGAACGAGCGAACATAAAACGCCCCATAAGCCAGGCTTTCCTTGCTGTAGTTATAACAAAGCATGTTCAGGAGTGGCTTGTGGACAGCTGTAGGTCTAATTTTTAATCTCTCGGGATGAGCCATGCTTGAAAGAGGAAATACTGTTCCGTCAGCAGAAGCTTGGTCCTGCTGACACTCGACTGATCAGGTGGCAACGGGAGAGAACTTGCTGTCCTCCATCACAGCCATAACCTGATGGGCTGTTCGAAGATGGCCTTGGAAGCCAGGCTTGACATGAAGTCCTCCTAACGGACACTGCTGCTGTCGATCATTTCCCATGGAGCCCATGCAGCCAGCTGAGAGTGGTCACGGCACAGTTTCCTGCTGCGCCTCGGGCAGCCCTCACGTCCGCTAAGTTGCAGCTTCTGGCTACTGTGGTAGGAGGGCTTATCTCGCCTGACTGAGGGACAGTGGGGTCCAGCGGATGTCGGCCGTAGTGTGAGCTCCTCAGCACCCACCTTTGACTGCAGTCTCGCTATGCCCGCCTGTGGGTCCGCCCTATGGCCCCTTTCCCCAGTCCTGCCCCACAGAGCCGCTGAGCTTCCACGGAGTCACGCAGCCCTTGGGCTGATGCCGCGGCAGAGGTGCCCCTCCCGGGATCGGTGGGGTCCCCACTCACCAGTCTCCGAGCTGATGACTGGTCCCCTGTCCGCTCCCGTTCCCCTCCTTCTCCAAAGCTTCTCCAAACCATTCTCTCTCCTCTTAAACCTACCACCAACCGTACCTCCCCCACACTCGGAGATAATCTCACTTCCTGTCTCACAGAGAGAGTAGAGGCGAGGACTGCCTCTACCCACCCCTACAAATTGACCTCCACGTTCCCCTGTTCTTTCACCTTTCCCTCTGGGTCCCTTTCTTGTCCCAACATGCAATATGGATCCCGTTCCCCCACACCCACCTTCCCAGGGACTCCCCCATAAAGGCCAGTCTCCCAGTGACAAGCAGGCATGAAGGGACAGACAGAAACCTATCCATTATGTCAGGACTGGCAGGTTCCCAGCCAGACGAGAGTGAGCCTCCCGGCAGATGCACCCGCCCCTGGCAGTTGTACTTTGTAGAGCTTTACGTCTGCAGTACCCTATGGCAGGACAGCTTCTGCACTCATCAGGATGAGGTTGACAGTGTTAGAAACGGAACTCAAACGAGCATAGGCAAAAGGCAGTGTTGTGGGTTCAAGTGTAAATCCAGAGGTGAATCAGCTTCTGGATTTAGAGGTTCAGACTATGCCAGGCATTGTGATAGAGTTTCCACTCTCTAGAAACCAGAAGGACAGAAGTCTCCCCCGACTCATGTATTAATTTCTGCATATGGATATTCCCATTTACTTCTAAAATACAAGAAAACTAACACACTTTTGTATGCCAAAAGATGTAGCAGACGGCTTTCTTACAGCAATAGGAATGCTATAGGGCAAAGCCCCCAGCTGGGTGGGGGTGGCGGTGGGATGGGGATCCTTCAGTTCTGGGGGAAGAACTGAAGCAGGAGAGGCAGCCACTGTCACGGGTGCAGGTTCCTGGGCCCTCTGGGAGCACTGTAAATGTGGTGAGCCACGTCTACTCTGGGTAGGGTGTCAAAAGAATGCACTAGAAGCTGACAAGCCAAGGACCAGGAAGACTGCTGGTAAATAATCTTTCTTGTTTTCCGTAAGGCAATTGGAAAGCTTATCTGGATTAGTGTGAAAACAACAAATAAAGCACTAGGAACAAAGAGACGGAGCTAAAGCAAACATCCAGGATTAGCTGCTGAGAAACCTGAGAAATAAAACCAGGTTTTGTCCCAGAGATCAGGGAGACCCAGGCATCCCCCTGCAGCCCAGGAAGTTTCTTGCTTGTCAAGTGGATTAAAGACTGTTTGGTCAAGGATCATGTGTTTGCAGCTTAGAGCAACCACACAAAGTGCCTGGGAACCACCCGCCTCCCCACCTTTGATGCAGGTTGTCCCAGAGACTTCTCCCTTGGTGGACCAGATGCCTGCCTTCTTCTGAACAAAAAGCGTTGACAATAGGCTTTGGTGACAGTCTGTTTCTTCTTCCTGGAGGTGGAGTTCAAAATGCTGAGCAACCAGTATGGCTCAGCCACTGACCTACCGTCCAGCTGCCAGCAGTCAGGCTGGGGGACCCTGCTGCGCCAGGTTCTGCCCCCTCTGTTCTGGATGACGGGGAGGTCTGGAGGGGCCAGATTGAGTGTGGTGAGTGCGGGCACTCGGGGGTGCCGGGCAGCAGCCCCGTACGCATCGGTGCTTCCGAACTGTGCACGCCAGCACCGCCGCCCCGACTCTCTCCCTCAGGGAGCACACGCACAGCACATGTGGCCACCGAGCCAGAGAGCAAGACGTCAGCCAGCAACCTCCATGGTCTCACCATGAGCAGTGCCTTCTAGAAGCACACAGGATTGCGGGCTGGGAGGCAGCAGGCGCCCACACATCAGGCCTCTAACACTGCCTGTGTGTGTTCCCTCATGGGATTTCCACCACAGCACTGCCCCCCAGGCGTGCTCACCCCACTCTACTAGTGGGGTAATTGAAGTTTAGAAGGACAGCAAAATCTGATCAGGGTTTTCATACGGTGACAAAGAGCCAGAACTTGAACCCAGGACTGCCGACCCAAAGCCTGTGCTCCCGTGCGGCGGGTGCTGCCTTTCTCGCACGCCTGCTGGAAGGGCCTGCGCATCCGACTCCAAGTGAGGAGGAGGCAGCACCCTTGAGCCGGAGCAGCAGGAGGGAGCTGCTGCCCAGATGGGGCTGTGGGGGCGGGGGAGTCCACCGCCCTTCTCCTTCCCCTTCCTCTCCCTTTATTTATTTTTATTTTATTTATTTAGTTTTTGAGACAGAGTCTCACTCTGTTGCCTGGAGTAGAGTGCAGTGGCATCATCAAAGCTCACAGCAACCTCAAACTCTCGGACTCAGGGGATCCTCCTGCCTCAGCCTCCTGAGTGGCTGGGACTGCAGGTGTGCACTACTACACCCAGCTAATTTTTCTATTTTTAGTAGAAACAGGTCTTGCTCAGGCTGGTCTCCAACTCCTGACCTCAAGGGATACCTCCCACCTCAGCCTCCCAGAATGCTAGGATTACAGGCATGAGGCACCCGCCCGGCCCTTCCTCCTCCTTTGACAACATATTTGAGCCTCCCACGAGCTTTGGCATCAAGAAATTCCAATAGACATTAACCAGCCTAGCTAGGTGGTTTGTTTGGTTGTTTGTTTCCAAACCGCTGTCTTTTACAGGTGTTCAGTGGGAAGAAAATAATCGCCTGTGAGACACGCTTACTAATCTTTGCCATGGTGGGTGGGGTGAAAAGGAGCTTCCTGCTGGTTGGCTGTGAGACCTCAGGCCAGGTGCACATCCTCCCCAGGTCCCAGATTCCTCTTTGGCAAATAAGAGAATCAATTCTCTGTCAGGGCTGGCAAGTTCAAATGCATAGAGGGGCCCATCAGACAACACAAGTTAACACAACAGTGAAGCGTGCGTGAAGTTTATATATTAATAGTAAGCACGTGTAGGAAGAGCCTCAC